ATGACGCTCTCCCCTCCCGGCCCGGCGAATGGTATCTCGACTCGGTATTGGCTCCCACATGGTCAACAACGCCGGTATACTCACCACCTCTCACCCTCCCTCGTCATCGCATCCTTCATCTATCATTGTTGGTGATGGGAACTTACTTCCCGTTACTTCCGTTGGATCACACTCTTTTTCGAACACTGGGCGTCCTCTAGTTCTTTCTAATGTTTTAGTTTCTCCAAACATTATTAAGAATCTGATTTCAGTTCGCCGGTTTACTACTGATAATAATTGTTCCATTGAGTTTGATCCTTGGCCTTTTCGTGAAGGATCTTCGGACACGGAGCGTGATCGCCAGTGCAATAGCACGGGAGACCTTTACCCGTTCTTCACGCCATCCAAAGACCATCGCTTGCCCTCTTCTTCTTTGCATCTTCCACCACTCTATGGCATCGTCGTCTCGGTCATATCGGTTATGAGGCTTTGTCCACGCTCATTAGTTCCAATGCTATTCCATGTAATAAGCGCCATGATACTCATATTTGTCACGCTTGTCAGCTTGGTCGCCATGTGCGCCTTCCTTTTAGCATGTCAAACTCTCGTGCTTCGCACGCCTTTGATTTAATCCATTGTGATCTTTGGACATCCCCAGTTGTTAGTGTGTCTGGCTACAAATATTATCTTGTTATTTTAGATGACTGCACACACTACACTTGGACGTTTCCTTTACGCCTCAAATCCGACACGTTTGGTACCATTACTCACTTTTTTTCCTATGTGCGTACGCAGTTCGGCTCCTCCATCAAGGCAGTCCGATCGCGACAACGGCCGTGAATTCGACCATTCTTCGGCCCGCACGTTCTTCCTCACTCATGGAGTCGTTCTTCGCATGTCCTGCCCTTACACTTCACAGCAAAATGGGCGGGCCGAGCGCATTCTTCGCACTATAAATAATATTGTGCGCTCCATTCTTTTTCAGGCTAGTCTTCCTCCCGTTTATTGGGCTGACTCCTTGCACACTGCAACATATCTTCTCAATCGTCACCCCACTAAAACCCTCGACGGCCTCACTCCTTTCTTTTCCCTATATGGCACGCAGCCTACGTATGATCACTTACGCGTTTTTGGCTGTGCCTGCTATCCCAACCTATCATCCACAGCTCCGCATAAACTTTCACCTCGATCCACTCTGTGTGTGTTCCTGGGATACTCCACTGATCATAAGGGTTATCGGTGTCTTGATCTTCACACAAACCGTATCATCATCTCTCGCCATGTCACCTTCGATGAGACGGTTTTCCCCTTCGCCGATATGTCCTCTTCCCCACAGGACCACACCACACTTGAGTTTTTGGATGCTGATGATTCCTCTTCGCCCGATGGCGCAAGAGCTGTGCTTGCAGTAACCGCCTCCCGGCGGCATGGATCTTGCCGGGGGTCATACTGACTCTCTCGCCATGGCGGCCTCGACCCCACCGCCTTGGCCTCGGGCGTACCGGCGGCGCGCCGCCACGGGCGGCCACGGCTCCTCTCCGGTTGAGCTGCCACGGTGTCTTCTTTGGTGGCCCCGCTTCGACCACCGCGCTGGTGCCTTGCCCCTGGACGGACGGTCCGCCCCAGTCTTGCCGATGGCTGGGCGCGGGCGCCAAACCGCCGCACCACCGCCACAGTTCCTCTCCAACAAGCACCTGTCGTCAACGCACACGGCATGCGCACACGCGGCAAGGACGGCATCCGGCAGCCCGTTGACCGTCTCAACCTTCACGCGGCACCGCTTGTCCCCTATGCCTTCCTCAGTCCGTACTGCCCTGACTGACCCGCATGGCGCCGTGCAATGCAGGATGAGTTTGATGCTCTGCAGGCTAATGACACATGGACCCTGGTGCCTCGACCGTCCGGTGTCAACCTTGTTACTGGAAAATGGGTGTTTCGTCACAAGTTCAAGTCTGATGGCTCTCTGGACCGTTACAAAGCTCGTTGGGTACTCCGCGGCTTCACCACGGCGTCGGTATCGACTATGATGAGACTTTCAGCCCCGGTGGTCAAACCAAAGCCAACCATCCGCACAGTTCTTACTCTGGCACTCTCTCATTCATGGCCTATTCATCAGCTTGATGTGAAGAATGCATTTCTCCATGGCATCCTGAATGAGACTGTATATTGTGTTCAGACTGCCGGTTTTGTTGACACCTCCCGCCCAGATTACGTGTGCCGGTTGAACAAGTCACTCTACGGTTTGAAGCAAGCACCCCGAGCCTGGCATCATCGCTTCGCAAGTCATATCACTTCTCTCGGATTTGTTGAGGCGAAGACTGACAGTTCTCTGTTCATATACTGGCCGGGGTAATTGATATGGCATTCTTGCTTCTCTATGTTGATGACATTGTTCTTCTGACCTCCTCTACGAGTTTTTTGCGGTGGATCATCCATGCTCTCCGCCAAGAATTCTCTATAGCAGATATGGGGCTCTTCACCACTTCCTCGGCGTCAGTGTGCAGCGTCAGAGTGACAGCTTGTTCCTCTCCCAGCGTCAGTATATTCTGGACATTCTTGACCGTGCTGGTATGCTTAGCTGCAAGCCTTGCAAAGACACTGTGGATACTCATTCCAAGCTTTCGCCGATGGCTGCTGCGTCACCGACCCTCCTCCTACCTTGATATTCTTTGGTGCTCTTGAAGATCTCACTTTTACTCGCCCAGATATTGCTTATGCTTTGTCCAAGCAGGTGTGCCTCTACATGCATGACCCCCGGAGCCTCATCTCAGGCGCTATGAAGCGCATTCTTCGCTACCTTCGTGGTACCTTGGATCTTGGTCTTCATCTTCACCGGACCTCACCAAGATGAGTCGATTGTCTACACGGATGCGATTAGGCGGGTCTGTCCGACACGCGCAAGTCCACTTCCGGCTATGCACGGTGTTTTTCGGGACAATCTCATCTCGTGGTCATCTAAGCGTCGACCTCACGATTGTCCGTGTCCGAGTCTGAGGCGGAGTATCGAGTTGTGGGCAAACGGCGTTCTTGAAGCCTCGCCTTTGGTTACGACAACCATCGCAAGAGCTTCATCATCCTCTTCGCCCGTGCTACCGTGGTCTATTGTGATAACATCGGTCTTTGTTTACCTCTCCGGCAATCCCCGCCCAAAGCACCAATGGACCAAGCATATTGAGATTGATTTGCACTTCGTGAGAGAGCGAGTCGCCCTCGGTGAAGCACGCGCGTCGCACGTTCCCACTACGTCTCAAGACGCCGACATCTTCACCAAAGGTCCGCCGACATCGGTCTTCACGGAGTTTAGGTCCAGTCTTAATGTTCGCGGTGCTCCCAGTTAAAACTGTGGGGGAGTGTTAGACTAAGCAATGTGCGGTTGCATGTGTGTGTCGCGTATGTGGCTGCATGTGTGCAGAGGTTGTATAAATATGTAACCGATGCAATCAATAGATCCATCCCTTACATTCTTTCAGAGTCGACTTTTTTTTCCCGAGCGGCGCAATTAGGGAGGCATGCCGATTAGTTTTGCGGAGACGATAACATTTGGCTTTTTTAGTTGCAGAGACAGAGATAGCGATAGAAAAGTTTCGGACTCATCCAATCCCGAGAAAGAGGAATCTCGACGATTACTTGCAGCATGTAGCAAAATAGCTACTCCCTCATCAACAAACGACTCAGATAACAAAAAGAAAACTTGGAGTCCAATGCTGTGTGGACCCATTTTTTATTTTTACTCAGCCTGTTCGGCAGGCCGTAAACGATCGTGGATTATATTACCGCTGGCTGATTTGGTGTGAGAGAAAAATACTGTTCTGGCTGAAAATTTACGATCGTTCATGACCAAACGAACAGGCTGACCGATGCTTTTGTTGGGATCAGCCGAACCAACACTTGGCTTAGCATTAGTGTTGACAAAGCTTAGTCGCTAAACAAACAAGCTTGAAATGTAGTGATCGAAAACAAATTTCCAATTGGACCAACAACTAGTTACTGCATTAATTTAACATGAGCAGCAGGTTGCATGGATCGGATGGTTCATTTTGTGCAGGGCTCGTCGGGGCCGGCGGGGCCGTGGACGACGCAGCCCTGGCCGTCGGACGGCCCGCACACGCAGTTGCAGCCGGGGAACTGCTGGCCCGGATAGTTGGCGCACGTCACGTACGATCCTTCCACGCACAAGAAACCGCATTCGTCCACGTCGGGCATCCCCAGTATCAGAAATCCTAATCATTTAAATATAAGTTACACAAAGAAGGGAAAACCTTAGATGATCATTTGTAAATGATAACCTTCTGTCTGCTATTACTAATGAAAACAACGAAAAAGAAGAAGCCATGTGGAATAATCGTACCGGAGAAGAGGGCGACGACGACTGTGAGCGACAAGTTGACGGAGGCCATGCTTGCAGTTTGCAGCTACGTGCAGTACGATCACTATGTGTCAGTCTGCACTAGTACGACGAAGCACTGCACTTATCTCTCATCTCCAAGACGTTATTAGGCTTTTTATATATACAACCAGCTGAGAGGGCTTAACCTCCGTCACAACAAGATTATTCCCAGATAGCATAGCAGGTGTATATGCTTTGTTACCGTTTTGGTCCCAATGTTCACGTCGTCGACGGCTCCTATGCAGGCTTATCTTCCGTCCGATGAACGCTGAAGCCAGCACGCGCCAAGCTCGTACGGGAAAACCCAGGAGAGCAAAAGGCCTAGCCAGGTGTAGTAGCAACCTCGAACGCCAGCTGAGGAGAATGTGCTCTGTTCTGGACTAGGCCAGCAACAATAAGACCGAGCCATCAAGAGGAATTTCCAGACAGCACCAAAAATTTCAGGACAGCAATAATGGTTCAGTCAGAAATTCTGAAGCACAGCTTACATGGAACTCACATACAGGTTCCAGTCAAAAGTCACAAGGACAATAGGTATAGTCACGAGATTTAGCTCAAATAGTTCTGGCACTAATTTAGTTTATAAACAACGACGGCTTCAAGCGTACAAGTCTCCGACACTGATGCTACTTTCCTACTCCTGGCTCTGCTCTTGATTCTGTGTAGCCTGCTGTGGAAATGGCGGCCTCTGCTGCTGCGTCGAAGGGCCTCTTTGCATTGTCTCCCTCCGCTCCACTTGGACAACCTCACGGCGTCTGTCGTAGCGAGGACGAGGCTTACTCCTTACCTGCTGTCTCTCATTGAATCGGAACTGAGGTCTGTGTATGACTTTGCCATCTACGAACAGATCGCCTGCCAAGTGGTACACGTAATCTTAGTGCAAGCAAATAACAACCCATACGATATGGGACTACGAGACAGGACTGACACCTCACTTAGATGAGTATTGAGCAAGAAAGTAAAAGCATAGAGAATTATGGTCTGGCGGGATCCAGACTGACCAGTGAAATTTCACTGAAGTAACAAACAACAATTACCTACCTCCGTAGTCCTTGTTAGGAACATCCAGATATGAATCAGGTAAAACCCAAAGGACTCCCGGCAATCCTTCAAGAAGTGAAGGCAGCATTATAAATAAAATTCAGTTAAAATTTCATGGTGCAAAAGAACCTTAGCTAAAACATTAGACCAATGGAAATTCCACCTTTAACTTTGTACGATAACTCCTCTGAAATCAATGCACCAAACCCTGTGTATGTTGAAGTGCACACTGAGTAGATTTTCTTCTTTGCTTCCTCCTCACTGCATGACAGAATCACAATCAAAATTTCAATTCTCAGATGACAAGATTAGGGGTTAAACATATACATCTTCTGGGTACATGTGTGTTTACAAGCTTTGGTTTGTTATATCAGAGCATGGTAGTATGTTGACAAGAATTGTACATAAACTACGAAGAAAGAGTGAGTCAGAATATACTCTTGCAACCATATTAAATACCACTTACTGCCATGCAAATGACAACTAATCATAATTTAATAAAGAAGAATTCACATAAAAAAGAACGCATATTCGACAGCCTATATGCCAGAAAGTCCCCAAAGCTGGGCTCCGACAACCCGGCACATCACCAAAAAGAACTGGACCTCCAGAACCTAGTGGGTTTTTGGCTGTGCTGCTGCCGCCAGGTGGCAAATCAGCTGCAATCAGGCAGCAAAACAGGGCCATAAGAGAAATAATTTACAATTGCACACTCTATTCAATTAGGAATTAGGATGCATCTTAAGGTGTATGGGTAAGTCAAGATCACAACGTGATCCATTCTTGAGTAATTACAATAAAGTCATGCAAAAGACCAGAGGTGATAACAGATCAAGTATGAATCAGACAATTCAGATACAGTTCCGGGATAAAACGTGATAATTTAAATTCACTGCATCTTAAATAACTCAGATGTCAATGCCAGGTAAATCGATAATATGGAATTTTACTGAATTTCTATTAATAGAAGCCAACATAGAAAATGATCCTCATTATACTCTTTGTGCCATTCAACGCGTTCAAGAACTCATAGCCAAGTGAAGATGGAACCTGCCTTGACAATGGTCTATAGTCTACTATGTCGAACAGTGCAATCAAATGTCTAGGGCCATCCCTTTCAGTCAAATGTGCATAAGCCGGCATGCCTAGGGCCATCCAGTGCAGTCAAATGCACATGAGCTGGCATATGGCCTAGGGCCATCCATTTCAGTCAAATGCGCATATAAGGCACCATTCCTAGGGGCATCCTGTGCAGACAAATGCACATGAGCCCGCATGCCTGGGCCCCAATGTGACATGTAGGCATGCAGGTAAGGGCACGAAGCTACAAAGTTGACGAGGCGGTGTGCCTAGCCCAAAAGGCGAGTCAAATGCTTTTAACAGCAAGGCACAAGGTGTTCCTGTAAGGTTGCAGGCACGAACCTCACATCATGATAGTATATATGATGGAGAAACCGAGAAGAAACTAACCGATAAGCTCCGAGTCCCTACCAATGTAAACGAACTACTAGAACATTCAATTAGTAGTAGCACGTTCAATTGTACTGGGTTTTTTACCGGCCTAATGTTGGTCAGGTCACGAACAGTTACAACAAAGTGCACATTTACGATTCAATTAGCTCAACGTGATTGCTCCAACAACACGCAACAAATGCGCGCACACACACACGCGGCGCATACCTTCCGAGGACGGCCGCGAGGGTCTTGACGTAGGCCGCGACCATCTCCTCCTCGGAGGGCTTGGGGTCGGTGGGGAACTCCATGACGATGAGCCAGTGCTCGTAGTCACAGCCGTCGAGAAGGATCGTCTCCTTGGGCGGGCGGTTGCTCCAGTTCGGGGACGGGTCGTTCAGCGGCGAGTACCCGGACGACGCGGTCCTGGCTCCGCGCGACGCGAGAAGGGCCCACGGCCACGGGGCGATGTGGGCTGAAGCAGCCGCGGCGGCGAGGGGGGCCAGGCGGCGGGGGAGCGCGCGGGAGGAGGAGAGGAGGAGCGCGGAGAGGCCGCGGCGGGTGGCTGATGCAGCCGCCATGGTTCGGGGCACTCGGTAGGGAGCTCCGATGGAGACGGCGGCGGGGGCGTGAGAGAGACCCGGAGTGGGATGCGGAAGGAATGGGGCGATAAAATACCAGGTGGCCTGGATGGTCTGGTCTGGTCTGGGCCAACAAAACAGTTGGGCCGGTCTTTCCCTTTGAGTGGCCTCCTGAAGTAGCGGTTCCCGCAGGCAGCCCGCAGCAGCAGCAGAGCGCACGTAGCAGCCGTGTCCGTCTCTCTCGGCGCGGCGTGATCAATGGCGCGCTCCAGATGATGATGACATCATGTCTCCTCCGTTCGCGCACTCTCCGAGGCCTTGTTGGTCCGTCCACTGTATCCCTCAACCTCCATCTATAGGTTTTCTAACTGAAGTTGTAACATTCGGGGCAATGCAAGTTTGTGAATTGTGAATTGTGAACTGTGATCGGTACACATCAGGCGTTCCGCTTCCGCGTTCACGGACTGGCAACTCGTAACCGTAAGGCTCAGATTCCGGAGTTCAATGACGTGTGCCGACTGCCGCTCTGCTCAGTCAAAAGCAGTCAATGTGCTCCCCATCGTCCTGAGGGATGCCAAATACTTTTGCTGTTTGTTGATTGCGCTCAGTTTTCATTTCCACCTTCCAGGTGGCACTACTATTCGCATGTTACGTCGTGTAGTATTTCCAGTTGCGAAGTTCGCAGATGGTGGCTTCATTGCCCAAGTCCTTGAAGAGGTATAGGGTGTGTTTAGGGCCGGACAAGATACTCGTGGCTGGTCAACTCGCTCGACTCGTGGTCGGCTCAGCTCGGCTCGTTTTAACTTTTTCACGAGTTGAGCTGAAAGTCTAGCTCGCTATTTTAATGAGCCAGCTCGCGAGCTGCTCATGAGCTGAAACGAGTTGGGGCTTATCACCCCACGACCATGAATTCAGAAGATGGTGATGCTGACCTAGAAGCGTGCACCTATTCTATTGGTATGTAATTCTTATTTTCAGATGTTTTATATGAATTTTAATTTTATAATTGTTGTGGTACTTAAATATTGATTTTATGGATTGTTTTACAGGGAGAAGATGATGATGCTGACATTGAATCTGTGGATTTTCCTAAATTTGTGATGGCAAGCAACTAGTTAATATGATAGAACTGCATGATCATGGATGGGCCAGCTATGTTATATGGTTAATACTTTTGATGAACCTGATATGTATCAATCATGTATGGTTGCATAATGATGGACGTCACCTTCTGAAATTAATGTAGCATAAATATTATAAACATGTATGTCATATTTTTTTTATAGTAGCTCGCGAGCTAAACGAGCTAGCTCGAGCTCAGTAACAAGCCGAGCCAAGCTGCCCCTCTAGCTCGTAATATTAAAGAGCCGAGCTGAGCTGGTTCGTTAGCCTAACGAGCCAGCTCGAGCTGGACCGAGCCAAGCCGAGCCGAGCTGGCTCGATATCCAGCCCTAGGTGTGTTTGGTTCACTTCCTCGATATTAAGTCTGGCTACCAAAACTAAGACAGGCTAGTTCTATCTAGCTTTAGCCAATGCGAGCAGCACATGTTTGGTTGCCTGTAGTACCTAAGCGTGGCTAGGAATCAGTATGTTTGGTTGCTTGATTTAGCTTGCATAGCATCACCTCTTCTACCAACCGGTAAGTTTACCTCTCTGAGGACTTAAGTTTATCTCTCTTGACACTGATCGATCGGAGAAGGGTGGATGGGGTCATAGTAGCGACGAATTTCACTTTTCAGCGATGCCAGCCCAGCAAGAGGAGGGCGCATCCCGGGTATGAATTCCGAGGGTATACTGATGGTACCCGAGAGGTGTCATTGCCGATTGACTGAGATGAAGTCAAGTGCCGGGTTGGGGTGTTGTTTAACCTCGTGGGGCGCCGTAAGATCGACGACCAGCAGAGGCCTCGTGGTGTGCCTTATTTTATTTGCCATATTTCTTTGGCATGGTGGTTTGTTTCTTGATGAATTTTTGCTTGTTGAAGTGCGCAATCGATGGAGGACCTGCACCCATCGGCTGCCGATGATAGAAGGAGCATGGAGGAGCCGCTAGCTCCCCACGTCGAGCCAGAGCAGGCAAGAATGAATCCGGTTGCCCCACCGTGGAACAACTAACAGTTGCAAGGTCGACCGACCCTACTATGGAGGAGCCCTCAACAATTTGACCAACCTCGCCTGGCGGTGGATTGCATAACGAGGGCGATCTTGGTGTGGAGGAGGTGTGGGGTGCGGTGGCGACGTCGAGTGGCCTTGCCAGAGCAAGTACGGAGCCCACAGGGAATGCGCCGAGCAGTGTGGCCTAAGGTCCACCCGTGGTTCCTAAACAAGCGTCATCCACGGTGGCGGCAACAGCCGAGGCGGCGCTCGGACACCCTGTTTGAGCACTGCAGCAGCCGAGGAGGGCACCATTGCCGGTGGCCATCGTTGAGGTCAAAGAGATAGTGCGGGAGCCCACCCCACCTCCCCAACTCCTCTGCACGGTCATTCAGCGTGGCGAAGAGTTTGAGATGCTAGAGGGAGGCGAGTGCGAAAACAAAGAAGGTAAGGGCCGATTTAACGTCTATGATGGGCCATATTGAGGTAAGCTTGAAGAGATCTTTTTTGTCCTTTGAAGAGCGCAGTCTGTTAATCCGTTTGCCCTCTGCAGAATGTGATGAAGGTGTCCGAGCAGCGCCGGCGGTAGCTGGAGGAGATGACTCTATTACTAGAGGAGAACAAGAGTCTGCAAATGTCGATGAACGACCTCCAGGCATGCCTGCTCCGATAGGGCCACCGCAGGGAGGACCTGGAGGTGAAGGTTCTGGCGTTGGAGAAGGAGCACCAGCAAATGGAGGCGGAGGGCCAATCGATGGCCGAACAGCTTAGCCGTAGCACTAATCGATAGAAGGGTATGTCTCAGAGCTTTGCTTTACTGGTAGTCAGCGTTGTGAAATGTCTGCCCGTTATATGCAGCATTGGAGACAGAGCTCAACCTTTCCTAGGAAGCCTTCGGCCAGCTTCTGGAGGCGAAGGAAAAAGCAGAGGAGAAGGCCAAGAAAGCCACTAAAGATCTTCGACGTGAGTGTTTTTCACGCTATTTTGACTTGTGCAGTGTTTGGTGCATGCTTAGCATATGGCTGTGTTGTTTGCATAGTATCGACACTAGGCCTAGGCACAATTCTAGATGCTCGTGGAGCAAGTGAAGATGCATGATGATAAGCTAGAGACGATGATCGTAGGAATCTAGCCCGTGCTGGACTGCGTTGGTCCTGAGCAACCCGAGGGGGCATGTTTGCTCGACGACAGGCCGTATCGATCGGTCGTGGATCGTTGCCGAACAGCATGGATGGACTTCAAGGAATTCACATGCAGCACGGCCTGTGGAGTCATCGTCCATGGGCACGCACAGCTAGGGTCACACTACCCTTTGGTGGATCTCCAACAGGTGGCCACCAGATACGCGCAGGGCACGAACGTGGAGAAGATTGTCAGGCTAGAAGACGATGCAGAGGAGCCAACGAAGAGGTTGGCCGAAGATGTCGAGTTGTTTGGTGAAGGGGAGAGCAGTGCTCCATAGATTAGAAAAAACTCATGTTGAATACTTGGCAACTTTTGTTGAGCACTTGTAGTTATGGTATGTTTATGTTTATATTTGATATAAACCATCCGATTAGTAGTGTATAGCTGAGTCCCCAGCCCTAGCTAGCCTGTTAACCGTAACACGAGGCCTAGGGGCCGTGTGTGTGTGGGAAGAATAGGGAGCCGCTAAGGAACCACTGTCGACCACCCATGACGCAGAGGGTGGACGCTCATGCACATGTAGGGAGAAGTCAGAGATAGAGTTGTCTCTGGAGGCGTTCGAGTGTCAACGTATTTGTTCGGGTATTTGCGTTAGGCGTAGTTGGCGTGTCATCTTTGAGATATTGTACGTAGAATCAGAATCACTTAGCGAAAAAGCATGGTGAAAACAATAAGGAGAAACATCAGTGTAAAAAACTTTATTGAATACTCAAATATTAAGGGTACATATCTTTGAAATGAACGCTTTAAGGGTAGAAAGGTCTAAGCAGATCGATGTGCCAAGAGTTTGGGATGTCTCTTTCATCCATGTCGCATAGTCTGTAGGACCCTAGTTAGGTGACCGCCTTGATGATGAAGGGGCCCTCCCAAGGTGAGGAGACCTTGTGCATCCCGTTTGTCTTCTGTTTCCTACGGAGTACTAAGTCTCCGACCACAAAGAATCGATCATTGATATTATGGTTGTAGTATCTTAGTAAGCCGTTGAGGTATTTTACCGTCCGAACATAGGGGACCAGACGATCCTCTTCTAAACTGTCCACTTCAATGAGCCGAGATTGGTCGGAGTTCTCCTCATTGTAATTCTCCACACTGGGTGCTCAGAAGGCGACGTCAGCAGGCAATACGGCCTCAGAGCCAAAAACCATAAAGTATGGGGAGACGCCGGTATTATGACTAGGCTAGGTCCTTAGTCCCTAGACCATAGCTGGTAGTTCCTTGAGCCATTTTTCTAGGTGTTTTTGTTCCTTCTCATAGAGCCGTTTCTTTAATACGTCTAGGATCATACCGTTGGCGCGCTCGACTTGGCTGTTGCCCTTGGGTGTGCCACGGAGACATACTTGATTGAGATGCATCTTTCATCGTAGAAATCCTAGAAGTCGCTACCAGTGAACATGGACCCTAGGTCAGTGATGATGCTGTTCGGCAGGCCAAAACGATGAAATATGTCGTCAAGCAACTCGGCTGCTTTCTTCGCTGTAACTTGGACCTGAGGTTTGTATTCGATCCACTTGGAGAATCTGTTGATGCTAACATAGACCCAGCGAAAACCTCCTAGCATGGGCTTGAATGGTCTGATCATATCCAATCCCCTGCATGCAAAGGGCCATGATGCAGGGATCATTTGCAAGGCCTGAGCTGGGACGTGGATTTATTTGGCGAAAAACTAGCAGTTCTCACATCGGCGAACGAGTGCTTCAGCATCAGCTACGGCTGAGGGCCAAT